CCTTCTTGCAATCATGGCCCCTGGTTGGACATTTTTGATGCTCTCTGTGAGCATAGTATTCTTATGGGCTTTGGCCTATGGCAATTGAAGTTAAATGACAATCACCATCCTCCATCCTCCTCCAGGAAATTGTGGGACGACTGGCGTGTTTCATTTGTCCAACACGTTTCTAATACTGAATCTAAGGGAGTGACTATGCCACTCCTGGGATAAGATGATCTGGTTGAGATGGCGTGCTGCCAAGGTGATTCGAATCAACTCTTCATCAGTCAGTTGTTCGCATCCTCCATCAACACCGCATTTCACACAGGCGTAATTGTGGCAGCATGTATGTTTCTTCCAGACCACATCCAGGATCGTGAGCTGCGAAAAAGAGCGTGGAGTTGTGTCTGGCTGGGCTGGAACAATCCAGAAGTGAGTTGGGAGTCGCACAGTTAAAAGTCTTGGAAAGACTGGGTTTACTTTATTTGAGTTTCAACATGACGGTGGCTCAGGTAGTTGGCGTCCTTCCATTATAGCATGTGCCCGTTTGTGTTGCCCTTGTTTTGCACTTTGGATGTGGATAAGCTCCCATTGATTCTCTGCATTGACCGACAATCCGCAGACACCAGTCTCTTCTGAATCAAAGAGAAGGACATGTAACTCCAAGAAAAGCATGCAAACTCTCCGTAGAGCTACTCAGACATATTTTACTCTGATTGGCAGAACATGATGGGCAAAACTTCTTTTCTCCATTTTGTTTGAGACCTCTCAGCCTCTCAGGCCTGAAGGATGTCGCCTTTGGGAGTGTTTTTGTTGGCTTGAATATGATTCATTCAGCACGTGCTGCACGACCCACAAAGAAAGGTCATACCTTGCCAATGACAGCGTAGATCTGGCTATGGCAACATAGGACAGCTTCTCGCATGGACGGTTCACCGCCACTGTGCGGACCCTAGGAAGTCTGTTTTAGATGCATCTCAAAAATAGGGCAACCAACACAGCATTTTCTACACATATTTTCTTCCTCCCAGGCTTTGGCTCCTTGTTACAGAGATGAAATGAGGCCCTTTTCCATCACGTCCCATGCTTCGCCAACATCATCACCGACCAAGAGCTCAGGCCAAGAGCTCAGGCACTTTGAACGCAAAAGACATCAAAAGACCACAAAAAGCAACAGGTCCATCCCAAAAGAGCCAATAAAGCCCGCTCCTACTTAATTAAGTAGGCGCCTACTTGATTAAGTAAGGGAGTAAGCTTCTAGGTAGGACACAGGACAGCTCACGCGTCTTCAAGGAAGCTCCCCCCGCCTGAGGGCCGGGGGGAGCTTCCTTGAAGAAGCGCTCACACTAATCACTAATCATTTGGTTCCTAGATTTTTAGGGACACTTAACTTTGTACCTCAGAGCAGCGCCATACATGCCATGCGGCGCCCAACTTATTCGGCCCAGGTGCCTTCCGAGCCACGACACATTCCGCGCCTTCCAAACTGATGGATGGGCAACTCACGTTGCTCAGGACGGTGAATGACAACTTGGTCATGCGAAAGAAAACAATGAACACCAGACTTGAACAGTTTGAGAATTGATTTTGAGATTTTGGGGCGGAGTTGACATTCACAGAAACCACAAGTTGATACGCGTGTTTGCTAGGGCCTAGGGCCTAGGAGCCCTATTAAAGGGGTCCTTACCCTTCTTTTACTATTTAGCGATTCCGATGCTGCTTGGAGGAAGACCATGCGCGAGAGGAGGGGCTCCAGCCGTCAGTGCGGGCTGAGCCCCTTGCCACCTTCCCCGCAAGAGACCAAGTTGAACAGTGCAGGTTGTGCTAAGTTTCTCTCGCTCCCTCTCGTCTCCCCGCTTAGGTGAGACCGCACTGCAAAATCTGGATCCAGTCTGCACTGACATAATTCTTTGATACTCTTTCTTTAACTCCATGGCCCTACTTTTGACCGGGTAGCCAAGCTGCACTGCCAATTCTGAATATTCCCGTACTTGGAGCACGGCTTCACCATCACTTTTGATACTTCAGAGCAAGGAGAGCAACCTGTTTGTTTGAGCCAAAATAATGTTTTCACTATTCACGGTTAACGCTCTTCTAGCTCAACTCGAGTTTCCAACATCAATGGATTAGTCTCAAGGACAGGGCGCATGTTTATGCCAGGTGAGCCAGGATGCTTCACAAAATTGCGAGATCAAGTGATACAATGAGATGCAATATACTGTAATTTTCTACGGAGCAATACCTTTATACAGTGTGAGTCATCTCAACGATGGGTCTCAGCCGACCTCAGTCCATTGGATTTGCCCGAGGCCTCGTAGTCCTTCAGCGCTGAACCGGGGACTCTCTTGTCCGCCACAGTGACTTGGCTGAGTCACTCTTGCAGCTGCCGCGTGAAGGTTCTAGATTGTTCTGGGACTCAAGGTTGTAGTAGTGGTCTTGCTGAATAGGGGCAATGTCCTCGTCCCTATGGCTGAGATTGCAGGGTGCTTTGGTTGGGAGCATCGTCGGCCTGTTTGGAACTTTCTGCCAAGCTGCCTTTATATTATGGCGTGTTTTGGGCACAAAGTTCAATGATGCGTCCAAGAGCGGTGGTCACGCGAACCCACTCCATTTCTGGAATCGGACTTCGTTGCTTGTGTGTGCCAGCAGCCGACCTTGAATTCAACTGGGCGCTACTCCTAACAAGGGCATTGCTAGAGCTGCAAGGGGCCACCAGAAGACATTGATACTGTAGCAGATGATGATGTGAAACATCGTGAGTGTGCCTTAGTCCTTGCTGTACTGCTTCTGTGCCACAGTTGTGCCACTCCCTGTAGCCACGGTCTTGCCCCCTGAAAGTTCGCCTCCCCCGGCAGATTTCTTCAGCTTCGATCTTAGGCCCATAAACACACGTTCCGCCTCGTTAGAGCCTCAGCTTAGGGCTTGAGAAGATCTGGAGATCCGTCAAAAAACTGGAGATTCCTGCTTTAGGGAAGTCAACATTTGCAAGTTCCCATGAGTCAGGCAATTCAAGTCCGATCAGGTATGGCTGCTAGATGCGGTGCTGAATCATGTGTTGATGTGAGGACACCAGAGTAAAAGAGTTTAGCCATGCAAATCTCAACCACTCTGCAAATCACAGTGTTTGCTTGCAACTGCACAAGATCGATCCGTGCTGAGGCCTGGGACTGTAACAGGTGGGCA